AAACTCAACATTAGATGACAAAGGCCATTCCCTCCCCAATTTCCCATGTCACACTGAGCACAAATTCAATAATATATACATTATACTAAGAGAAGTCTTTAGATTTGCCAAAAAGCTTTCACACACAAAAAAAGCCACTGGCCTAGACAAAATTCCAGTGGTTATCCTTAAGAATATTAACCCAGAATTATCCCTGATCCTAGCAAAGTTATTTAATCACTGATTGAAGGAAGCCTGTGAAAGGAGGCAAGCATATGCCTGGTTGTTGAGAATGCAAATGAGTGATCCTCCCCCTCCCAGCATAGACCCATTAGTCTCCTCAGAAATCTTTTTGAGGCTTTAATCAACAAGGTCATTGAGCACCTAGATAGAAACAACCTCGTGTGATGAGCAGTATGAGTTTCAATCAGCCCAACCTACTGCTGACATCCTAACTACCATTACACACAGAATTAGTGAGGCCCTTGATGACACACACACCACAAGAACTGTAGCACTAGATATCACAAAAAGCTTCAATAAGTTCAATTTGCTGCACAAGTTCTCCAGCTATGGAATCACTGGAAAGGTTTTCTCAATTACAAAATCCTTCCTAACAGGTAGATCTCTGAAGGTTGACAACCAGTCCTTTGAGGAGGCCATGGTGGCTAACTCAGGCATTCCCCAGTTGCTTCTCGGACCCACCCTATTTCTGATTTACATAAATGATCTGCCTAAGAATATACTCTGATAATTTGTAAACATTTATGTTAATGCTACAATGATATACAGATCCACCTCTAAAATTCTTGACAATCAGAGACTGGCAGCTGACCTCTCTTCCAATCTAACATTAAGTTCCCAGTGTGGAAAAAACTAGTTGGTTACATTCAATGCCTCAAAAACTAAACTGGTTACATTTCATCACCGACGATCAGACCCCAAACTACTGCCAGTCATGGTGAACTGATGTCCCCTCAAAGAGGCTCTGTGCCTTGAGAGAATTTTGGACCTCAAGTGGAACTTGTATATGATCCATCTTTAAAGATGAATGTAAAATGACTGGCTCCCTGTACCGCTCCTAACCTGCCTTTATAAGAGCCAGATCAGGCCAAAAATGGAGTACTGTTGTCATATTTGGGTGGCAGCTGTCCAGTCCTCTATTTCCAAGCATCTCCAAGTCCTTGTTGGAGAAGAATTATTTTCCACCCTCCAAACTCTCTCTCACAGGTAAGATGTAGCAAGTCTCTCACTGCTCTATTGCTACTACCAAGTACTCGGACAGTTATCTGCCCCTCCTATCCACATAAACTACCCCTTAACTTCGAGTGCCCCCAACACCACCTTGTAGAGGGTGAACCTTAGTATGTTAAAAAAAAAAAAAAAAAAAAAAAAAAATTACGAATTTATATATATATACGATATGTTTGTTCTTTATCCCAAAGAAATCTTTGTAACACATACACAAACACCACTCAAAAAAGTGTTTTCGTACGCAAAACTATGTAGGGAGAGATCTGACGTTTTATCTGAACTCCTGATTTAAAAAAAAAAAAAAAAAAAAAAAAATTAATTTGAAAACTGTCGCAGCCTAATAAGAAAGAATGCTAATCTACAAAAAGATATTTCTAAAAAAGTTTTCCTTTTTCTTGAAAGTAGTAGGTCAGTCTAGTGCCAAATAAACAGAAAAAAAATAACATTGAATTGGACTCACTAACGTAGGTACCTCCACGAGATCGCTAAAAAAAGAGCATAGCATGATGAAAAAGACGCCAAACTTGACAAAAACAAAATTTTATCGTCTAAACGTTTGTTATTATTAAGAGGAAAGGTCAAAGTATTTTTTGGGGTTTTTTTTTCCATTTTTTAATCGTTCCTAGCACGTCCGAAATTTTCGTTAAAAATCTAGTTTTTTTGAGTCAGCAAAATTGACCATTTTTTTTTCCATTTTAAAAAAAAAAATGGAAATCTGAATTTGAAATTTTTTAAATATCAATTATCATTTTTTCAAAACTTATTTTAAGAAAATCAGAAATTATAATGTTTATTTAAAATATATTTTGAACCAAACTTAACTTAGCTTTTGTGCCAAAAAGATGTAATTTGAAAATAAAAAAAAAGCAGGTCATAAACTTTCGCGTCTCTTGACATGTGATGAATGATATATTTACAATTCCATGAGGCTAATTTGTTCTACGGAAGGAGAAAAGTGAAATAATTTACATTTACGTGAACAAATTATTTACCCCGTTATTTTTAATGAAAACTTTCAGCGGTCTAATTTTTTTTTTTTACTTAGCTTTCACCTTTACGTTTATGATGCTTTATGGGAAATATATTGTAAAAGAAATTAAAATAATACTGTTAAGAGTGACATTAAATTTCATATTTCTTAAGAAAGGTATCTAATTAATTTATAGGTACCTTTCTTATGAAATTTTATCAGAATTGTACATAAAATACTATAATTTTATGTACATTTATTACATTCTACTGTTATTTGTATTTGCATTCATTTTATTATTAATTTTGATATTTCATTTATGGAAAAATGTCGTAACTGAGATTAATATAAAAATAAGATCATATAAATTTCATAAGATGATACTGATACTTGTAGGTACCCTTCTCAGTTGAAATTGAAAAATCAAATTAACTTCTCCACACGTGTTTTCAAAAAAAGTAAAGGCCTTAACAGCGGAGAACAATGCTTAACTCAAATAACGCAAACTTAATTATATTCTGGTTGGTCTTCCGTATTTTTATAATTACAGCTCGATTATAAGCACAAAATTACATTTCTTAATTACTGGGTATCTTCTGATTAGTCAAAATGATACAATTTACAACGCGCTAAAAAAAGATCTATCTCATAAGGACACTTATGAAAGCCAATGCGACTTTTAACTAATTTTATAATATTTTAACAACTTAAATGTAAAATCTATTATAATTAATGAAATAACAAATAATTGTATTAAAAATTCATTTTTTCATCGAAAAAAATTTTTTGCTTTCAGAAAATATTGTCCATATTCATAAAAAAACTAAAAGCAAATAAAAGCATTTGAAATTAAATAATATATTTGTTTTATTGAGTTTTGTATGTTACAATTCAGAGCTGATTTTCAGGTACTGCGTATCCAATTAAAAACAAAAAAAAAAACATGATTTGCATTCCTCAAAGCCCTGTGCTTTTAATTATTGTAATCACTAAAACCGATGCGATCGAATTTCTAGCGTTTTCATAAAATTAGTTATGGGGGGGGGGTAATAAATATTTTAAAAAAATATTTCTACCATGACTTTCATAAAAAAAAAAACATATTTATAATAATTTCGATCATCTGTGAATAGTTTCTGAAAGTTTCATTAACATCCGATAATTATTTCTATTTTTTGCACGATTTTTCAAATTAATGTGTGTCATACCAAAAAACGTGCTAAAAATTGTCTATGTTATTTACTAGTTCCGTTGATACAAATAGAAAAAAAAAGTTTTTTTAATCAAAATTTAGAATGTTCTAAAAGAGGGAAAATTTTTAAAAATAATTAAAAAAAACTTTGGTCTTTCCTCTTAATAATAACATAAGAATTTAGACAATAAAATTTAGTTTTCGGCAAGTTTGGCGTCTTTTTCATCAAGCTATGCTCTTTTTTTAGCGATTTCGTGGAGGTACCTACACGGAACCTCTTGAAAACATTGGATATATAGTCGTTTTTAGCGTTTCAAACGATCCTAAACATTGATTTATGTCCCTTACATTTAGACCATGAACTTTTTGATCGAGATTCATATTATAAGTCCTTTTCTGTTATTTTTAGAATTTAGTTTTTTTTTTTAAATTCTGAGATTTATTGGGAAAAATGTTGAGAAAGATTTCGTTTTATTTTTTTACTAAACAGGAAAAACCTTAATAAATTATGCTACACGAATTATTCTTAGTTTTTATTTCGAATTCTATGGTGAAAAAAAATATGTCTCATTCAAGAAGTTGACTTCAATCAGTACTTGGAATCGTTTAAAACATTGAAATGAACTAATTAAAAGTTACATTAAAAATCACACCCCCAGTTTTCTACGATTTTCAAAACTTAAAATTTTCAAATTAATTTCTATTTTAAAAATTTCAAAAAGTTAGAGAATAAAAATAAAAGAGAAAAATAAAACTCCTGACGGAATCTAATTACAAATTACTTTTAAAGTTTAAAAAAAAAAATTAAAAAAAGTGATACTAAAAAATGCATAAAATAAATAAATGAGGAACAAACAGACTTGGTCAACAGTCAACAGTCAACACCCTTCTCCTTAATTTTTTTTTTTTTTGTTTTTCATGGATCATTGAATCTTTTTCAAATATTTAAAACAGTAAAAACACTTAAATATGTTTTATCTTTTTTTGTGTTTAGAAAAGCCAAAGGAAAGAAAACTTATTTATTCGAAAATTTATTTGCCATTGATGAAGGAAAAGTCAACCATAGAAGAAAAGATGAAGATTTTTTCTTTTCTTTTTTAAATGATGAATTCTTCGTGTATTTAACAATTAAATAATCAAGGCTTCTTTAAAGATGAGGACAAACAAAAAAATAACCGATTCATTTCTTAATAGAGTTTAAGATTGATAGAATAAGTCAAGAAAAAAAAAGAAGCCTTTAAAAAGAAACACTAACACAAAGGACAAGAAAGAATGAAACTAAAAAGACATAATGACTGACCAGCAGAGGTAACGTTATAATAATAAAAAGTAAAACCAATATTACAGGACATTTCAATTCACCATTAGATGTTATTTAAGTATTAATCATAGATTGAAAGATCTGATCGAATAGGAACACCATATAGAACAATAAATACGAGAAAAATAGCTCGTCACCAACGAATTAAAAAGGAAGAAATAAAAAAAAAAAAAAGGAGCTTCGACTCCAGAGGACGAAAAACTGATTGATTATTTATCAATAATCGAAAAGATTCTGGCGTGTTCATTTGTTATATTTTGAAAATAAGTTTGGAAATACTAAACCTGTAATAGTAGACGTCGGTTTTGCCGGCAGAAAGGCCGGATTTTCGAACAACTTCTTCTCGTTTCCATCCAGGCGGTAGTCCAACACAATCCATCTTGTTGAAGTACAAGGGATGATAATGTGGGAAATAACCAGAACAGTAAACCGGAAGTGACCCGAACATCTTACAGGAAGTAACCTCAATAGTCACATAGCTTTTTTGATTTATTTTAAATTATTTTCCATTCTATATTGTACATGCTACAATTTCATTATTTTTAAAATTATTTGATGAAATTAAAGTCCTAAATAAATTATTATACTGTTTATTTAAGCAACAATGGATTCAACTTATTTTGTAAATTTATAAAATATTAAATCGGATAATGATGAAAAATAAAATTGCACTCCAACCTTATTTACTTTTTTTACAAATTTACTGCTTTTTTTGGTTTAAACTCTTTATTTTTGTCCTTTTATCTACCTTTTACATGTTTTTTTTTATAATTATATTTCTTTTATTAAATACATCCAAAATTCTTTAATTATGGTAAATAACCACTCAAAGTTTGTACGCATATGAATAAAAAACATTTTCATCTTCTGATGCAGGTCCCTCAGAAGACGAAACACGTTGGTAAAGAAAGATTTTCCTTTTGTTGTCATTATTGTTTTTTTCTACAGATATAGTTTATTTATATTTTAACTTTTACACAAACATATATATATAATTTTTTAAAATGTTTTATTCTATACACACACACATATTCATATACAGAAGAAAATGATATAACAATTTTTTATATATCAGAACAATATTAGGAAAATTAATCATAAACTGAAAAAATTTCATGTGGTGTTTCGTCCATTCAGACTTTATTAAACTAAAAGGTGATATTTATGGTGATGTGACAACACAACAGACATGCGCACAAAGGGGAATGAACACTGAAATTTTAAAATTAAATTTTAAAAAAATTTTAAATTTTAAATTTCAGCATTACCTTCACCTTGGGCACATGTATAGTTATATCAAAATTTTAGACTTTTTTACATTAGTTTTAATTGTATTAATTTTTAGAATGTTGAAGATATAAAACTATTCTTGTAAATAAACAATCTAATAAATAGTGTTTATTATTTTTGTTATCAATTCTCAAGAACAAAGAAAATGTATAAATTCACTTTCATCATATGTTTTAGGTTTCATTACAATTACATGGGCACTCTGACCAGCCCCTATAGCAAAACATTCCCATATACAGCAAGATGTACTGTGTGCTGTGATACATTCCTTCCTCTTGATTAAAACTATCTGAAATTTGTGATACAATAGGCATTGTGTTCACTTGCACTTAGTTGGAAAGCCTGCATTCTCATTTTGTATTGATGCCTTGCTCACACCAAGCCTTCTTTGTGATTGATGATTTTCCCTCCTTGAGCCACCACCAATGGATAATAATCACAACTGAATGTAAACACCCCACAAGTTGTTCTTTGACCTCACCTGATCATAATTTGCTTTTTTTTATCATAGTCATTCAAATCATTGTTCTTCCCCATAACTGTGGCACTCATCACATCACAACATAATATCCAGGGCCATCTACCTGCTTTTCTCCTTCTCACCAGAATGTGCAATTGTTATGTGAGAGTAGATGTCATTCTTATCAAATGTCATAATGCTTTGGCACATAATTGTATATAGGACAGAAACTATATTTCAGTAATATATACATATGCATACACCAGAGAATTATGTGAGCTTTTAAAGGAAGGTTTAAAGTTGCTTTGCTGGTCTAATATTGACTATGATAAATTTAGCTTTTACTGGAAACCAGATACATATACCTTTACTGAAAAAAAAAACAATTTTAATGACCGATTTCTCTTCTGTGGAAAATATTTCTATGAATTATTCAAAACTAATATCTTAATTGTCTTAATCAATATATTTCAACCAATTTTTTGAAAGTATTTTTTATTTCATGAACTATTCAGACTAATATCCTCATCTTTGTTGTTTTACTCAATTTCATCTTCAGCCTTCCTGGAATTCTAAGATGATGAATTCTTTGTTGTTTCGGTTACTGCATTTTGGCTGGTATGGATATGCTTGTAACATAGCGGTTATCAGCAGAGAAAGTAAGATTGGCATATCGTGTTCAAATTTCAGCTGAGACAGTTGCATTCACTTTTACGCAAATGCCATTGGAATGAATCCATCTCTTTTGTATTTTGCTCAGGATTAAATAGAAAGGCAGACTGGACTCTTCAGCTTTGGTTGGCTACGAGAAGAATAACTCTGAAATTGAAAAAAAAAAAACAGTTGAACATTGGACTAGCAATGCCACCATGTAAAAACCTAGTTGTTATGAAAACTACAGAAACAATACCTAGTGTGGTGAGGCTGTGGCTATATGCTCCCCAGCAGAGTCTATAGGGTTAATATACAACATATATATTTTGGCTGATACACTCTCTGGCCTTCTTCATATAATTCCTACAATTACATTGGTTAGTATTATCAAAAGTATTTATCTTGGAACATGCATTATGATCCAAATTTTTAAATTGGTTTAAAATTTTATTATTGTGTAACTTTATAATTTCGCAAGATTATCAGTGCAGCTATAACTTAATTTTAATCTGTTTCTGTTAAATATTTTACTAAGAGGGTTACTTTTAGGGAAATGTTTATCAAATGAATAAAGGAACTTCTGGCCTAACTTAGTATTGATTAATTGATTAAATGAGGGTGTGTACAAAATGATTTTCTTATTTCTATTTCTTTTCTTTGGACCACTATCATCATATTTTCTATACTTGATTTCAACATAATTATAACCACTATACTTTAAAACAGTATTATAAACACTGCTATATTTATCAAACACATCTTTGTCAAATGAGTGGTTGCTAATCCTATATTCTACAGACAAAGGTATATGTTTGATTACAGATGGAAGGTGGTTAAAATTGGGATGAATATAAATTGGGTTGGCCTTATTTTTCATAAAAGGTTGAAATACATCATTAAATGAGATCTAACGTAGCAACAAGAAAATCTACCCATTTAACATTAGTAGTTATCTTAACCTTAAGATTTAAACTTTTTAATTCTCTATGAATCATTTTTCTTAATTTATCAACCTTAATTTTAGTGTAATTTTTTACTACCATAAGACCATCATCTCTATATAACCCTATATTATCAACATTAATATCATCATAAGCACAAAGGTTATATAGGATAAATAATCCCACCAGGTCAGAAAACTCTGCAGAATCTAATGATCCCATTGAAATATCAAAGTAATCATCAGAGTTCTTAAACCACTAATCGAATCATTAGATTCGTTAAAACATGATCACAATTGTGTAGTGATTTTTAGCATGTTTTTGTTTTAATATCCTAAAATAACTAATATATATATATATATGCATTAATATTTTCTGATTTCAAACATTCTAATCTCACATTTCTATGATCTATGAATTTTTATTTGAAAAAATAAAAATCATTGCTACTATTTAAACAAGAAACAATCCCTTTTTATTGAATTACCACTACATCCTTCCATCACATAGTACGGGCAGCATGGTTGAGGCAACCGCCAGATATTGAAATATCAACTATACATCTTCCATCAAAAATAAATATAAAAGTTTGAACTAAATATTCACACATATGTACTTCGACAACTAATAACACTTATACCTTCAATTTTGTAAATTTTAAAATCAGTTTCGCAGAATTTGTTCTGAATGGACACACTAGAAAACCATACCACATGTCAAAGAGGAAGCATAATTTAACCAATTGCTTCTTTTCATTTTGTTTTTCAAAAATACAAACCTCAGAACTTCTTGAAGGAAATATAAGGAAAGTCAATAACCAAAATTCACTAGATGCACTGGCTTCAAAAGGATTCCAGTTTTGCTACCAGCAACTTCAAAGGACCTGTCTACATACTTTTACTAACAAGATTATGTCCAAGAACACAGTTGAAAGTTTAAATCTCTCTCTCTCTCTCTCTCTCTCTCTCTGTATATGTAGATCACTTCTTTTTCATATACATACATACATACAAACCTTTTATTTAAACTCAAATATCTGAAAAGAACATTCATTTCACTAGAAAAATTTGTTCATTTTACCAAATCTTAATTTATATAGATATCTAGAGTTTTTTTCCCGTCATTATTATTATTATTATTTCCTTTGATTTCTATTGCATACACTTTTCCTTCTGGGTCCCAACCAGAAACCTAATGTCAGAAATAGCTTCATGACATTTTCCACTGATCATTTTGGAAAAAAAAAGCCTAAGATCACACACATTTTACATAGATAAAGCTCTTCTATTTTTTATATTTCTTTAAGGTATGGGCTACCAAGAATCCCTTCAATAAGTCTATCAGAGCCTTTTCCAATCAATCCAAGGGCTCCAACTACAACTGGAATTATTGATGTCCTCATGTGCTGCATTTTTGTGATTTCATCTTCAAGATCCTTGTATTTTGACAGTTTTTGAAAATCTTCAAAGATACATTACAATCTGCAGAAACTGCCACATCAATAAGAAACCAGATTCTGTATTTGTGGTCTTTGATCATAATGTCTGGCTGATTAATTTTGATTGTTCTGTCTGTGTTTATTGTAAAGTCCCTTAAAATTGTTACAGTTCCTATTTCTGTAACTGGGTCTGGGTTATGTTCATACCAGTTTCTTGCAGTTTTCTTCTCTTAAAAGTTGCATATTTTCCAGTGCAGATATTTACCCACTCTATCATGCAGTTTTATATCGTGGGTGCTAACACCATGCAACCTGACACAAGATGGTTAATTGTTTCTGAATATTTATCACAGTATTTCAGATTAACACAACTTTTCAGTATGTATGCTTAGTAATTTCTAGTTAGTAAGTATTGGTCCTGTGCAGCAAGTATAAAAACTTCACTTTCAGGTTTTAACCCTGCACTACATAATGGGTACAGGGTTTGTTTACAAGCAGATTATTGACCATGAAGAGGCTTATCTTGGCATCATTTCTGCATTTGGTACATTGCATTTGCTTTTGCTTTCTTTTTTGGGTTGTTTGTTGTTGTTGTT